CTCGAAGAATTGCCTCACGGCGTCGAACACCGCCTTGGTGGCATTTGCCAATGCTGCTGCACTGGGGTTGCTTCCCGGGTCCTGTGAGGGCACAGGCAAGGGCACGAGAGAATGGACCAGGGCATGATGAGGCACCGCAGCGTGCGCATCGACGGTAACTGACGTGCGTGGACGGGGAACTGATAGACGTCTCAATACGGATGGGCCCGTACATGTTTCCTCTCTCTCTCTCTCTCTCTCTCTCTGTTTGCCTCAACGATGGCGAAAACGGCGGCCCCCTCCCTGCCTGGGCCACATCGATCAACCTTTGTTGTCGTCATCGTTGAAGCCATCATCATCATCATCATCATCATCATCATCATCATCATCATCATCATCATCATCACCATCATCACCATCATCGCCATCACCATCATCATCATCAACATCATCAGCATCATCATCATCATCGTCATCGTCATCGACATCATCATCATCATACTAATCATCATCACCACCGTCAGCGTCACCATCGTCATCACCGTCATGCATCACAACCACGATCATCATCTCGCCATTCCACCCTATCATCGTATCATTGACTCACCCGACCACCCAGAATACGAAGAGCCATCAAAGCAACTGATCACTCAACGTGCACCGTCATCATTATCGTCGTCGTCACTATAACGAGCACCATCATCAGCATAATCATCGTCGTAGCCACCATCATGACAATCATCACCATCCAATCATCGTCGTCCTCGTCGTCCTCGCCGCTGCCGACACCATCGTAACCATCATCACCATCATCGTCATCGTCGTCGACCATAATTATCATCATGATTATCATCATCATCAGCATCATCATCGCCGTCGTCGTCCATCACCATCATCAGCACCATCATCGTCGCCATTGCCGTCGAAATCGTCGTCACCACCGTCCCCATCATAATCGTCACCACAGCATCACCATGATCGTCGTCTTCTGTTTCGTCGTCGTCGCCACACATCATCATCATCATCATCATCATCATCATCATCATCATCATCATCATCATCATCATCATCATCACCATCATCATCATCATCATCATCATCATCATGATCAACAGCATCGCATTCGTTGCCAGCACCGTCATGACCATCGTCATCACCGCCATCGTGGTCAACCAACATCATCATCATCATCATCATCATCATCATCATCATCATCATCATCATCATCAGCATCAGCATCATCAGCATCAGCATCAGCATCAGCATCATCATCAGCATCAGCATCATCATCATCATCATCATCATCATCATCATCATCATCAGCATCATCATCATCATCATTATCATCATCATCATCATCGCCGCCATTGCCATCACCGATCGTCATCATCAACATCACCATGATCTTCACCATCACCGTCACCATCGTCATCGTCCCCGCCGTCGCTCACCATCGTAGCCATCACCATCAACGTCATCGCAAATATCGTCGTCCTCGTCGTCGTAGTCGTCGTCGTTAACCATCATCACCTACACCATCATCAACATCGTAGTCGCCATCGTCGACCATCACAATCATCATCATCATCATCATCATCATCATCATCATCATCATCATCATCATCATCATCATCATCATCACCATTATCAGCATCATCACCACCGTCAGCGTCATCATCGTCATCATCATTATCATCCGCATCATCATCAGGAGCAGCACCAGCCGCATCATCATCATCAACATCATCAGATCACATCATCATCATATCCATGATGTTACTTGACCCATCAGCGGCCCAGTGTCTGCAGGAACTTCGTACAGGGCGCAGCGTGCAGAGGGACTGGTAAGATGCAATTGCAAGCCGACAACTCCCCAAGACGAGTTAAAGAGGGGCTGTTGTTGGGGATTGGGGGGGGAAAACCCTGAACATTCATTTTATTTCATTTTACGGATCGGATGCAGATGGGGGGTAACGAAAAACTGGGTGCGGCACGGCTGAATCCAAGAAAATCCCCTTCGTGCAAAACTCCTTCGATCATCGGCGGAACTGTGACTAAAGGAACTTTGCACCAGGGCACAACGAGCAGAGGGACAGTTAAGAAGCAACTACAAATCGAGCACTACGCACTCCCCCAAAACACGGGCGTTTTCTAGGATCTCCGCGTGGCTCTGGCTGAGCCTAAAAGGGAAGTAGCCAGCGCGCGGCACAGTCGGCAGGGACATGCCTGCGTAATCCTGGTTCAGTTCAGCCCCACGGGACCACCACAAACCTCGAAAGCAAAGAGACGCTTTCCCTAGCGGCTGCAAACTCCCCTTACCGGCGCAGCATCGCCGGAGCTTAATTAATTCCGAAGGGTCGCATTCACCTATCAACAGTTTACTCGACTTGCGCCAAGGACCGCCGACGTGGCAAAAAACCTGAAAACACCCCTCTTACTCTGGGCAAGGCCGACACGTTCATCATAGCCGGAGCCTTGAACAACTATGAAAACAGAGGATTCTCAATAAACCACGGGGCCTGCAATCACCTGCAAACTTTCGCGGTTCGGATGGCAGCGCACAGTGGACAGCTTTCCACCGCAGTCTTTCTTTCTTCATATATATGTATATATATGCACATATATACATATACATATAGCGAAGCCTTAAACTGGCTTCAAAGTGTGGATCCGGTGTGCCTTGGATACCCCGCCTGCGGGCCGAATGCAGTGCGAGAAAGGCATCGATACACGAAACATACAGAACGTTTGCGACACGTGACGTTGGGGTGAGAAGGAGGACGGAGGAGAGCGATGTAACACACTCAGGAAAAGAAGACGACGGAGGTAAGAGACAACCAAGCCATTTAGAGAAGAGCGGATAAAGCCGAGGACATCTGGCATAGTGGCCAATATCGTCGAGGTCGTTCGTACCGTGCGGCGGACAACCTAAGGCACACCCTTTAGGACATGAGTGACACCGAGCAGAAATACAAATACTTCGAGTAATAACTCTGAACAAGACAAAAAGGCGCCCATGAAGAACCTGTCAATGTGAGCCCGAGAAGCTGTCGGGAACCAAGACCTCAGACGCCGAAAAAGAATATGTCTGGGGCCTTCTCGGGGTGCATGCGAGTCCCACAGAGACCTATACAGAGCAGCTTGGACTGTTTTGGGATATTCAGGAAGACTGCGAGGACCCGAGAGATAAAGGTTGTACATGCTGCGCATATAGCGTAGGTATGATGCGTGGCACCAGCCCGAGACCGCGCGAAAAAAAAAAACTATAAACTCGGGATCATCAGAAGGCGAGTCACGGTGCTCAAGGACGGCTCCACAGCCGGGATGCTTCACAATATATCTCATACATGTGGCATCAACAAGGGTGGCAATGTCAGGGAACGAGGTCGGCATATGGATGTCACTCAGCTGCACACAGAAGTTATACGACATGTAATTACGAGGGCCTGCAGTAAGATACATCGCAGCTTCACGATAATGGTGGATGAGACGAGAAGTAATAGGATGTACTTGCATAACAATGGAGAGAACAGATACGCACATCACCTTGAACGCAAGGATCGAGCGAGCGAGACCGAGGCCGAGCCAGCGCGCGACTATCACGCGCTGACGAAACTTGGCCAAGACAGCATCGCACGGAACCTTGTCGGCGTCTCGACCAATGTAAAAGCTGAGGTAGTTCACAGCCGTCAATACTTGGATCAGCTTAGGGCCCCCTCGCAACCTATCAGTGGAGTCCTCGAGGCGCTGGAGGCCCATGGGGCCCGAGACACGCAACTGGCATTTACGGCAGGTCAGACGAAGGCCAGCAATTGTTCGAACCGCCCAATCGTGGCGAGGATGGGCCCCAGGGAAGAGGTGACATTGCAGAGCCCGAATCCAAAATCGCCGGCGTAGGCACATGTCCGGTCGATATGTTGGGATCGTTTACAAATGAGCCAGCGCGTGAGAGGGTCAGCTGCCAGAACAGATAACATCATAGTACTTGGGCAACCTTGCTTGACTCTACTCTCCACACAGAATTCACCAAACTTGCGACCGCCAAAGAGGGCGACAGCGATTTTGTCTTGGTGGGGAACAGCGAAGAAAGCGACACTAGCCGGCGCAATATTCACGCGGGACAGCACGCGCAGCAACCACGGAATAGCCAGCGACGGAAACGCTGGGCAAAAGTCCGTCAGAAACAGACATGCCTTCACCCTGCCCAGGATGTATTGCTCTAAACCCCATGCTTCCGGGTCAATAGTGTTGCAAATGATGCACCTGCCTTGCACGCTCTCTTGGGCAGGTACCATACAGCTCTTCGTATTCTCGCTAATCGGGATCGCCATCGCACCCGCAAGAATCTCAATGTCCGTGTTAGACATGCTAATAGGCCGTGTGTTTTGAGGCCCACGGGTGACTGAAGACGACGCATCCTCCTCCACGCCCTTAGGTAAGAAGACCATCAGACTCCCGCGCATAGCAATCGGGAGTTCAGAGACTCCCTGCAAAAACAACAGCAAGTATACATCATGCAGTGCACGAGAAGCATCAGGTACACGCCAAGCACAGTACGGGACCCCGTCCTGTCCAGCCATGCTGCGATACCTAGTACGAATAAAGTCAACCCACTCCCCATAAGACCGCATCCAGAACCGAGGACGAGGTTCAGGAACTTGCTGAATAAACGGATCAATCTCATCCCACAGCGAGGAGCCCTGTGGCCAGCACTGCTTCAAGACCTCGGCGGCGCCGTCGTCAGATAGGCTAGGATTACCGCGCTCATCATAAACACAAGTGAGGTTGGTCCTACTGCGAAACCTTGTTTCCAGATCTCCTGATTGCGCTGAATCTTTTCTCTCTGACCACGCTTGACCTCGGGAGTGGCATCTGAAAGCTCAAGCTCGCGTTCTTCCTGGTCCAGGAGTTGAAGCTGGTTTGAGCGTATCAGCGCAGACAGGCCCTGGCGGTTCACACGCTGGAATGCGGTCAGTTCAAAATGGCGCTGCAAGACAGGATAGCATCGAAGTGCACGGGCAATAATCCACTCACGGCCCAGGCGACACTCTCGGGGAGCTTGCAAGGCCCGGCGGCGTTTCTCTTCCAACGACGATGCAAGCTTGCGTCTAGGAGCGCCCCGAACTTTAGCAGCAGCCGTGCACGCGGCCGCCTTGACTGTTTCGAGACGGGGGAAGGCCTCAAGGTCCACGGGGATCTCCGCAATGGCAGACTCCAAAAAG